GAGGCTGTGGAATCTCCCTCCCTGGAGATATTCAAAAACAGTCTGGGCAAAATCCTGGTTGATGTGCTCAAGGAGTCCCTGCTTGAGCAGGGTGGTTGGACTAGATGACCTTCAGAGGTCCCTTTCAACCTCAACCATTCTGTGATTCTGGGAAAAGTACTTTAAATTGTTTCCCAAGGAGCAACTGTTTAACTGTAGGAGATTCAGATCCTTTCCCCAACCTCGTCACTTCTTGCTCTCTCGGCCACAGCGAGCAAACCTAAATGCCCTCCTCAGCATTTCTCCCAGGGACCCTGCCCAGAGCCCAGTACTGCTGCTCTCCCCAGAGCACTGTGCCTGGTGGAAACACCCAGCAAGCGCAGATAAAGCTTGTTTTAACCACATCTCAGCATGATCCTTCTTCAGCAGTTTGCCCTGGACAGATGGGATTACTATCCATGCAGCTGCACATTAGTGCCTTCAAGGCAGACAAATTGAAAGGGCTGCTGTCAAAAGAATTTTCTTACACATACCAGCTAAATTAAATCTTCCACATCAGGAATAAAAAATAACTTTCAAATACAGTCATTGCTCTAGCTAACATGGGGGGAAAAAAAAAATCCTTCCAATTGTCACAGCTCTTTCTTGGAAAGATCTGAACATTCACATTTCCTAAATCTGCATCCTAAATATGCCACCCTACTCTCTACATCGGATCCTCAGGCTACAGTTGCAGAAGACAGGGGCTTTGATAAGACCATCACCTTAGAAAGTTCCCATGTACGAGATTCCTTCTAATTGTTCTCCCTTCTGTGCTACTGCAATCGTGCCAGAGCCACTTTTTGTGGAGCCTGTGAACCAGGCAGCTGATTAATCCATGTTATTTTTGATTAATTTTGGGAAGGAAAAAGGAATGGGGGAGGGAGGCTCACAGCACAGCCCCACAGGCAGAGGTACCGGCACAGCCAAACAGCAGCATGACAAAGCCAGGGACAGAGATTTCCTGGCAAAACTCCCAGACTGTGAAATCATACCTTTGATCACCTACTCACCTTCATCATCTTCCAGCTCTTGCGTTCTGGTTTTCTTTCTTCTTAAAAGAAGACTTCCAGTAAGAACTGTGAGCCGTGTACTACCATTCAGGATTTAGAGGCTGAATTTTAAGTAAGGAATGGGTTAAGACATGCTCTGAACCCGTGTTTTTGAAGGGTAGAGAAAATCCCCACAGTTCTTTCTGGACAAATCCTACACACAATGTTTGATGAGTCCCACATGGCAGGTGACCAGCATAGTGTTAATTGATATCATATAGCCCTTGAGGGTTTTAGATTTAAAAAAAATAGATAAAATTTTAAAAATCACTGCTCACAACAAAGTGTGGTTGCAAAACTCTCTGGCTAATTAGCTACCATGCAAGCTCTCCTCTGAAAAAAGACCAACTCACTTGGTGATGCTTTTCAGGGAACCCAGACCAGCAGCCAAGAATTCTGATCAGACCACAGCACTCCTGGCCCACAGTGCCACAGCAGCAGGAACAGCAAACCCGATTAGAACCTTTTCTTTCAATTGTGAAAGTCTGAGGAGTAGAAAGGAAGGCCAGACAGAGCCCAGACTTCTCTAGACTAACCCAGAAATATTGCTCTGTAATTCAAATGAAATTTGTATTGGATTTGTAATTTAATGATAACTAGTAGCTTCAAAAAAAAACCAAAACCAAAAACCAACAAACAAACACAAACCCACACGGAAAACCATTTATTTCATCTCTATTGTCTCCATGCAGAGCAGACCAATATAGATGAAGGGGGAAAATGCATAAGAGCAGCTGAAAAAAATAGAGCTAGAAAATATGATTCTCTCTGCATTTCCAAAAGTGACAAATGTGGTGGAGTGATGCTCCATTTCCTCTCCATCCTCAGCCCTAGGGCTGAGATGGTGGACCACCAACGAGCCCCTCCCTCTCACAAGCCCCGTGCTAACTCCTACCAGGGTATCTTCCCAAGAACCGCAGACTGTCCAGGCCTGTGGTAGCAGCCAAGAAAAACAACTCACAAATACTTTCAGTGTCATCCACTTCACATTCCTGAACGCTGAGCACAAAATCCCGACTGCGGTTTTCAGTCTTGGCAAGGCTCGGCGCTGATGCAACACCAGCTCATGGGCACTCACCTGGCAATGCCTCAACTTAAATGCCAGCTTCATTTTTTGAGAAAGACATCTTGGGAAACAGCAGGTACATCTCAATGCAAACCCTACTACAGGGTCTGGCTTAGCTTCAGCCCCTGGGGAAAGGGTGGGAAGGAAAACCACCCCACAGCTAGAATGAGAGGGTTAGCATACTCCCCCCGTCCCTGCAGGCTAGTCAGACTAAATCCCCCTTCCAGGAAAGCAGGAAGTGGATGGTACCTTCAGACTTTGTGACAACTGAATGATAGAGGGAGCAGCTGGCAAAGGAAGGCAAGAGGGATGCAAAAATTGCACAATCCTCCCTCATTGTTGCAGTGAAACTAGTTACTGATGTAAGCCTGGGGTAAGGAAAGCTGAAAAAAATTTAGACAGCAGTTCCTGGGCAGAGAGAACTGCAAGGATGAGCTCTCCAGCAGTCTCTGAAAAGTAGGACAGGAGCTGTCATAAAAAAAGAACTGTGTCAACAGTTCAGGAATCTCTTAGGGAAGTAAATGCCTCTGCTGTGGGCAGCGTACCTGCCTCACTGCTCTGACCCGAATCGCGCTCTCAAGGGACGAGCGCTCTTGGTCAGGTCCTGTGCAGACTGGAGAGCGGTACTGATTTATAAAAGCTGTTTGAAAACACAACTGAGTTGGTGCAATTCACACTGTGGCACCTGTTTTGCATCCAATGACTCCCCTAGTTCAATTAGACCTGTTTTTAATCAGATTTAAGCAAAGTGAGGATAAGCTCTGCAGAAGGGATGGATGATCTAGTAATTGTGCACATTTCTGCGGCAACAAAACGTCCCTCTGGAACAACGGCCTAGTCAGTTCTGTGGGCAAAGCTTTCGAAATGTAATTTATTTTTATTGGTCTCAAATTGCCAAAAAATTGATTCCAAGCATCGTGCAACAGATAACTCCTCTCAAAGCATATCTATTGTCACCCTTTCATATCCCTTTCTCTCCTTACTTAGCACACAGCTTTTCTAGACCCATTTTTAAGAATCTTTTCACCAGCAGCTTCACCCTTCCCATTTCAACCTCCTTCCAGTATTCTTTGTTGCTGTGCCCCTTCCTTGAAGGGCTGTCAGTATTGTTTCTTATCTATTCATCCCCAACAGACTAACTCCACTGTGAGGTAAGAAGCCCAGAAATAGGCTACCATCTATATTTTTGGTTATAGCATGCTCTTAAATAGTCTACACTGAGCAGAGGAAAAGCTAACCAGGGGTGATCGGCTGCTGACCAGGCTGTAGCGTTCAGCTGTTGCCCAAACTGCCCACCAGATCTCTGCCATGGCAGCCTAGGGGTGGCTGTAGCTTGCCAGGCAGGGCTAGCATGCTACACCTCAAAAGAGCTCTGAAACGCGGCGTGGGGCAGATGGTGGGTCAGTCAGGTCTGGAGAGCAGGCTCAGAACCACGTTCAGCTAATGGTTATGAGGAGAGGGAGCTTAGTCACAAGAGCTACATGGCTCTCCTTCCAGATGTAGGTGAGCTGGTTATGGCAACAGAAGAAACATTTACTGACCGTTTTTTGGATAAACAGGCGGTGCTGGCTATCGGAGTGGTTAGGGCTGAGGCAAGTCATCTCCAAGCTGAGCCATTTAATTGTAGTGACCTACCCTAAAGTGCCTCAAGCTTTTGGCTCGATTCCAATATAAACAAATACAAAATAGACCAAAGAGGTGGACTGCTGAGGCTAACACTACCTTTAGGAACAAGTGATGTCAATGAAAAGCTGGAGATCAAGTTGGAAAGGGTCCTTTCCCCTCTGTCTCATAGCACCGTAACTTCTCATGGGTAGGGAGTTCTGGCTAAAGCTGTTAGTTTATTGGTGCTTTGCCATCCCTGTTCTGCCTCCAGCCCTTAAGAGTGGTAGGAAAAGTCCTTCCTCTTCATCAGCTACAGGAACCACCTCTGTTGTTTTCACACAAGAGCTTGGGAGGCGCGGCTCTATCAGAACGAACCAAAGGAAACATTGTCCATTCGCTGTAGAGCAGTTGTTCAGTTCGGTTCTGTTCACCGGATCTTTTGCTCCATAAAAAAAAAACAAACCAAAAAAAAACAAACTGGAAGCCCTGATGTGTGGATTTTAGCAGAACAGGGATAGGAGAGCCAGGGAATGAAGTCCTGCACACCCAGACCTCTTTCTCACCTGCTTCTCATACTAGCAGCCAGATCTGCACACACACACACATAGGAAGTAACATTAGTGTTCCTTATTGCTTTGTAACAGCTCAGAGTCACCGTGGTGGCTCTGGGAGGCATCGTGAGGTCTGCGCAGAGGTCACTCGGTTGTGAGCGAGAGTAGCACCATGACTGTAATGCCTGTACACAGGAGCAGGATTTGCTGCAGGGAGTTCCTGGGAAAGAAACAGTAAAATTAGGAGGAGTCATAGACCAATCCCAATAGGCAGCAGTGCAGAGGCTCATGAATGGTTTGTTCTTTGCCCTTCCAAACCTACCACAAGGAGAAGACAACAGATCTATGAAGCCACTAACGCAGCTGAGAAGACTCTTCCCCAGTACGTCCAGCAACAAAGTTGTCTAAAAGCTGATGTGCATTCGTTCCACTCAGCTGCAAGGCCCAACTTCAGGTTTCAAAGTCAATTTAAGATAATGCAGTCTTGTAGCTACCCAGGTATATTCCTGTCCCTTCTCTCACAGCACAACCAGCACTTGTACAGCAAGTATTCCCACCTGGAATACTGCATCCAGTTCTGGAGCCCCCATCACAAGAGAGACCTGGAGCAGCTAGAACAAGTCCAGAGGAGGCCACCAAGATGATCCGAGGGCTGGAGAACCTCTGCTGTGAGGACAGGCTGAGAGAGTTGGGGCTGTTCAGCCTGGAAAAGAGAAGGCTCCGGGGAGACCTTATAGCGGCCTCCCAGTACCTGAAGGGGACCTACAAGAAAGCTGGGGAGGGACTTTTCATAAGGGCAGTTAATGACAAAACAAGGGGAAATGGGCTTAAGCTGAAAGAGGGGAGGTTTAGATGAGATATTAGGAAGAAATTCTTCACTGTGAGGGTGGTCAGACATGGAACAGGTTGCCCAGAGAAGCTGTGGCTGCTCCTCCCTGGAAGTGTTGAAGGCCAGGTTGGATGAGGCTTTGAGCAACCTGGTCTAGTGGAAGGTGTCCCTGCTGATGGCAGGGTTGGAACTGGATGAGCTTTAAGGTCCCTTCCAACCCAAATCATTCTGTGATTCTATGTTCAGATACTTTAGGGACCTCAGCCAACTAACAATAATGGTTATGAAAATTAAAAAAAAAAAAAGCTGATGAATTTTCCCACTCTTTTAGCACCAGCTCAGGTTTATGCTGGATTGAAGTGACCACCTCTGCATATTCTGCCAACAGCTCTTCCACCACAAGAAGTTACCAACCCAAAAGCAAGCTCTCAACTGGTCATTAACATTTCTCCACCTGAGGTTCCTGCCTCCTCAGATCTAACTGTGGAGCTGTGTTTTGAGCACTTCCTTAAGTGTTTCAGTCAAAATCAACCAAGTGAGCCAAGGCCTCTTATTTAATCTACTGAAGTTACCTGTCCCATTTACATCTGAAATAGGAGGGGACTTTCAGGGGCTGCTGTACCAGCAGATCTCAGAGGGCCTTTACTGTGGTACAGCTGGATTTGGACCTGCTACAGCCTTAATCAGGCTACAAGAAACTAGAATAATACAGATGAGGGGAGGTTAAATATACCAGAATACATAAACCAGTGTAGAAGAGAGATGACTGAAGTGGGATACAATAACAGACTATGAAATGCTGAATGATGAAGAGAAGAAAACTATTGTTTTCTACTCACACAGCAACACAGCGACATCTCATCAAAATTAATAAGCAAGAGGTTAAAAAAACAAATAATAAGAAGCATCATTTAACACAGTGCAGTCAAACTATGCAAACTTGTTGTCAAAGGGAGACTGCAGAAGCCCAAAGTAATGGATAGGGTCAAAAAGGGATGAAAGCAGCACGTGAAAGATAGGTTCATGTGTGGTTCCCAGACACACACACCTCTATGGGGCCCTGGTTCAGACGCTCCCTAAACCAGTCCATGCCAGAAGCTAAGACAGACTGGGGAACAGGTCACCTTTACTGGACATGTTTCTGAGCAACCTGGTCATGCTACATACTGCACTAGCACAATCTTTGGGACTGACCCAGTTGAAGGTTCTCATGTTTTATAGGGTCTTTGTAGTCTCAGAAACGCAATAGCTGGCACAGTCTATTTAGATTTCAGCCTTGCCCAAGGGGTTTGGAACACTGGCATTCGTGTGCTCCCAGAAAAGGCATCGGGAAGGGTTACATCCCTGCTCCCTGGCTGCAAGAACAGCTGCAACAGAACAGGAGGGAGCACTTACCAAGGATTCTTTTCCTCCAGGAGATCAGGCACAACGTTTACCAAGGCAATATACAGAAATCCTCCAGAAGTGAAAGGGAGGATCCAGGCTACTGTTTCCCCTGCACAAATACAGAAAGCTTTCGTTACTACTGAGACAAAGCCATGGGAGAGAACAGAGAGGGAAAGAAGAACACACATAAGGATGATTGCCTCCCCTCCCTATTCCTACGGAGGGTCCCAGGGAGCCTTACCTGCTCCTTTTGGTGACTGAGCACATATTGCAAAGCAGGCTCCTAGAATCCCTCCCAGAGCTGTGGAAAGCTGCATCTTGGCTGCACTCCAGCGGTCAAAGCCAGCCCGAAGTAGGATTGCAAAGTCTCCAACCTAAGAAAATCAAGAGCTGACAGTGAGTATGAACATTCTCTGTCACAAAGGCCGTCCATAACAAGACCAGTACTTCAAGACTGTTTCTACTTTTTCATGTTGCCAGTCTCCCAGATGGAGCAGCTTTCAAAGGGACAACCAGACCCAGCCCTCCTCTTAGTAGATGAAGCACCCTTGTAATCCCTCATGATGTCAGGATATAAAACCCTCTCACCTCATGTGGGATTTCATGCAGGAGAATGGCCATCGTGGTTAGGAACCCAACCTGCAGCAGAGGAGAGAAGGTGATTAGGAAACAGTCCTCCAGCTCTGCCAAGGCCCCTTTCTCAAGTTAAGACTTACTACTCAG